GAAGAGACATGCACTGACTTGAAAGCAATAACACTGGATTCAGAGGCAGGTATGATGATGATGATGATGATGATGATGATGATGATGATGATGATTTCATTTTGCCCCATAGCCAAAGCTCTCTGAGCGGTTTACATATATAGGATTGTGTTGCCAGTCAACACACCACTGTGTTACCTAGAGATGACCCACTAGGTAAATATATGTGGAAATTCGCACATTCTAAATATCTAAAAGGTCTGGTTTCTTTTTATGCACTTGCTTCTTCTGTTGTTCTTTGCCATAACTTCCCAGACTTGAAATCTCATCAGATTTGCTTTATGGTTTATTATTCCTCTCGGTTTATATTTGCAATATAAATATGCCCAATTAGGCTCGTCTGGTGTGCTGTATTCAAGAAGACTAAAATGCAGGCATATGGTCATCATCATCATAATTCCCTGAGCAAGCAGCATTTATTATAACTTAATATGCAGTTGTGACATTTACAGATCAGAAACCGTGGATGCATTTCAGTGTTGTGTCAATGGGTCATAAAAAATACATTAGCACTGTAAAAGGAATCACAGAGGAAGGTGACGAAGGAGGAACATGTTTAGATGGTGCCTGTTGGTTGCCCTCATATTAATTATGGCACGGCATGCTGGAGAGGAAGTGAAAGAGCATTATTATTCAACTGATTTGCATGCATAGAATTAGAAGTCAACCGCGTGCCAGAAAGAAAGGCCATGTTTTTATAGACAATTGCAAGGGGAACAATTCTACCAAGCACTGCCGCGATTGTGCAATCTCTGTTGATTTGAATAGGGTTCACCCACCATGATCAATCAGGGAATTTCCATTACATACGGATACCGAATCTACAAAACATTTTGCCTGGGCTGTTCAGATTTGTGATTAGAGCAGTAGATTCGAAATTGAGAGAGGGATGGTATGGGAAGGATTATGAAAGTGACAGTTGGATGCACAATGAAGCTATTTGCCAGCAGTAATAATCATTGGAACCTGGATTGTGTGGCAAGCCCATGCCCACTTTTGTGGTTAATTTTCCTGTAAATGTAGAAAAACACAAAAATCTGCAGAAATGATCAGCTTTTGTATGTCCCCTAATTTTGGGGACTGAAAGCAAAGCACTGTGAGGAGATGGTTGAAGAACTGGGCATGTTATGCCTTGAGAAGTGAAGGCTAAGGGGAAATCTGACAGCACTCTTCAAGTATGTAAAAGGATGTCACACAGAGGGGAGCCAGCATCTCTTCTTGTTCCTCCTAGAGAGCAGGACATGAAATAATGTGCTCAAGTTCCAGGAAGCCAGATTCTTGCTGAACATCAGGAAAAACTTCCTAACCATTAGAGAAAGATGACAATGAAACCAATGGCCTAGGAGGTCAAGTGTTTTCCCACACTGGAGGCATTCAAGAGGTAGTTGGAGCTACCTGTTGGAGCCACCTGTCAGGGATGCTTTAACTTGGAGTTCTCCACAGAACAGGCTGGACCTGATGGCCTTCTTGCCCCCTTCCAACTCAACTCTTCTGTGATTCTAGGTTTGGTGACCTCTATAGAATGTACAATATGTGAGTGCTACATAAATTATAATGGTAATAATTCAGTTACAGTATATATTCCTAGTCATTTCAGAAGAGAGGTTATTACAATGGACTTTTCCCCTTTGTTTACAGTCAAGAATGGGATGGGAATCTCATACCTAGTATCCTAATCTCACCTGCAAGGTTCCAACCTGGTCCTTTCACATTATCCAGAGGGATCCAATACCTTATCTCAGTCTGGCTCCACCCTTCCCTCAACAATCAATCATTCGCTTCTTTTGCTTTTATACAAACTTTCATCCTTTCTAAAACATCGAAAAACTTCTCTTAAGCCATTAAGAGCTTTAAACTACAATATGATGGCATAGTTTTCTTTCTTTTTCCTCCTGCATTTTTGGCTCGCCCCTCTTGCTTTCAGCCCCATCCACCACTGGAATGTAGCCAAGAACTCATCTGAACCAGAATATGAACCTGGGGCTGAAAGAGGTTTCCCACCTCCGATCTGCAATGTGTGAAGGAGGCAATAGACCCTTTGTCCTAGCAACCAGAGTAAGAAGGCCTATTTACTGCTGCTTCCTCAAACTAGCAAGCTGGCCTTGGTTGGCCTGAAAGTCCACTGCAGGACTGTCATAACTTTCATGACTCCAGGCCACCATGACCCACCTGGCCTTCCTTAGCTGAGCCTTGAGAGAGTACAGGGTCCCATCTATTGTACCCATTTTGCTTCTAGCACTGGAATCTTTTTTTTTTTTTTTACTTTAATGAATGAACAGTTAAATTCTATCACAAGAATGTTTCATGCAAACCTCAATTTGCAGATCTAAAATTATCAGAACCAACTCTCCTCCCATCCTGTTTGTTCTTTGATCGCCTCTCCTGTTTTGGTCCATTGGTATCCAAGGAGGTGTGGAAATGTCATAGTGCTATGAGGGCTATGCCAAAGAGAATTCACTGGGACTGGGGGGAGGGGAGGGGAGGGGGAATAAAATTTAGGCAGAAAAAGAGAACATTAAAAAGGAGTCAGATTAGTATACTTGAGAAATTAAAGGGCACACACACATGAAGCTTGCTCTTAACGTCAGATAGTGGCCCAATTTGACCAGCACTTCTCCAGATTGCAGTAGGTTTCCTGGGCCTTTGCCAAGACTCAAGGTCTATTCCAGATCTTCCCCAGCCCTGCAGCTTACAGCTTCAAAATGGAAGGGCCAGACACTAAGACTTCCTGCTTCTGCTCAGCCACCATGCTGTGGCTTCTCTCCAAAAAACAAGCTCATGGGGACCTATGATTAGGATTTTACCCTGCTTTAGAAAATATCTATAGCATAAGCAGGAGGCTTCAGGAAGGATTGGACAGAGGATGCAAGGTGGGTGGAGTAGTGAGAATTTATGCAGTGAGGGAAGTATATTAAAATATGTCAAGCTGATTCTGTGGGCTACCACACTATCATTGTAATTTGTATCTATTTTAAATCGCTGTCAATAGATCTTTTGTATTTCCCATCTGCACTTCTCAGTTAATTACCATCTGTGTCTAGGCACTTTATAAGAAGAAGAGGTGGTCTAGCAAAAATAATTGTGCTTTTCCTTGCTATCGTCACACACTGACAAGTCACCTAGGAGCATGCTCATTTTTCCATGCTGTATCTTGCTCATGCTTTTGGCTTACCTCCCACGTATATGATCACTCAGTGTAAAAGCCTCGTGTCTTATATTGGTTCTTTTTTTTTTTTGCTTTCGGCAACCATGTGTTGCATTTTTGTTATGCGCAACTTCAGTCCTGCTTGCAAGTATTACCTTTTAATGTCAATGTCATCATTAAGAATTCCAATTCAATATCAGTGGTGGGGGGGGGAATAGAAGCATTGTGCAGACATAATACTTCCGATTGCTGAACTGTATCTTAAGCAATCAGGATCTTATATCTGTGTAGATTCTGCAGAGGTATAGTTTTACTTGGATGCTAAATAATTGTGAGCCTTTAGTGCTGCAACAGATTTAATAGCATTAATCCCCTTTTTAAAAATCACATTATTCGTGTCAGTTCAGCTGGGCACAATGTGGCTAGTCCAGTCATGTTTATGTACATGTTTACGAAGATGTAAAAGTCCCACTGTGTTAAATGGGATGCAGGATTGCAGTCAGATGCTTTTGGCTGAAATCCAATGAAGTTATTTACATGCAAGTAATACTTCAGATTTAAATGGGTGATCAAAGCACTTCACAATGTCAAAGGAGGGGAACAGTTCAGCTGAAGGAACGAGAGCTACTAAGTGGAATATTCAGGAAGAGTTCCTGTTGTATGCTTTATTCCCATACTCACATGTAAGTAACTTCTTTGAGCTATGTTAATTGTCATCCACATGATTCTTGCCATCCAAAACAGATTCTTACAGGGTGCCAACTCATAGCAGAGACGGATGTGAACAGAATAAAAATGCACTTTTGTCCATGAACTTCTCCACAGTAGTGTGTTGCATGAAAATGGTGAAATTAAATCCAGAAATGTTGCTCTGCCTGTGCAGCAACTAATGCGAGACCTCGCACTAGCAGAAGCATGAGAATTACTATAGTGCAGGTGTCTTTCAGATATCTTGTGCTACAGCTTCCATAGCTCCAGGCACCAGGCTTTCTTTGCACAAGAGTGAAAGGCATGATTTCCCAGTTCCACTCACTGCTCTTTGAACCCAACTCTAGCCTGGATGCAGAGCGGCTATTATTTTTAAGTGTTCACAGACTCTTTGGAATCCCACAGAGCCAATGTGGTCACAGAAGTGTATGTGGGCTTTAAATCACCACCCTGCTTGCATGCACAGCGTTGGAGAACCATCATAGGTCACGTAAGCAAAATGCCTGGTTTCCCATGGTTCAGGGGAGTCCAGGAACTCCAAAAAGGAACTGCATTTTTAAAGAACATTTCCTACAGTATCAAAGAGAATATTGCCTTAGTCCTGCTGAAGTTTTAGGTACCAGATGTATTAAGGAACTGCCAAGAACACACCTGGTTAGTCCCACACAGGAGACTGGTGGCAAGTAATGCAGGAACCCCACCTCATTGGCTCTGAAATCTGAAGGCTTCCTTCTGGTTAGTATTGATATTGCTCAGTGGGATACATCTATCTCAATTTTGTCTCCAGAGTCTGGTGCCAGAATCCTGATGACCACAGCTGGATTAACTTCTAGTGGCACGGGAAAATACATTCAGCCACAAGCTCATTGACCTATACGACGCAACCACTTGCTATGGAAAGAATAACATCAGAGAGCTATAGTCCTCTCTCGGTGTGCTGTTTTCAGCACACTTATTTCACAGGTTTTAGTAAAGTCACAGGTTTCAGTAAAGTGCACTGAAGCATCTTTCAACAGAATACTCAATGGCTTATTTCCTCATTGCTTTCCAGAACCAATTCACTCACATTGATTAAGCTTTTCTCTTTCCTTCCCACTCCATCTTGCAGCAAACATATGTGACAATGAACTTCAGATTTGCCAGAATGGAGGGACGTGCCACAACAACATGCGCTGTGTGTGCCCGCCAGCCTACACAGGTGTATTATGTGAGAAGCGGAAGTGCGACATGGATACGGATGCTTGCAATGGAAGCTCTGGACAAGAGGCAGCATCAATGCCACATCTGACACTTCTATTGCCACTGATTGCACCATTAGGATTAAGTGGGGTTTTTGTATTCTAGGCTATGCAGCTTTGGAGGCATGGACTTCAGACTGCTTTAAAAGGAATGTGCTACAGGAATGGAAATGGCAAGAGAAGCAGCAAGCAGATGCTAATAAGTCTTTAAAAATGGGGGGTGTCATAAAAGATCCACACCTATAGACAAAAAAGGCCCAACTGAACTAAGCCATATCTGTGGACAAACCAGCGAGTCAAGACTGTTACTTTCTGACTCAGGCATCAGTGGGTGGCTGCCAGTCCTATTGCTACTAGCCACAACTCCAGCCGCAAAAGCTTACACGGGCTTGAAGAGGCTTTGGTAGCTGCCATGCCCAACCCCCCAGATGGGAATACAAAACCGCAAAATCTTGCTCCTTCGATCTGGTGCGCAAATGTACCTCTTCCCAGTGTGTGGACCAACCAAATAGAGGCATTCTTTGCTGTCAGTGCATTGTGGGTATAAGGAAATCTGTTTCAAAGCTGCCATATTGGTCTGCTTCAGCCCCTGGATCCCCTTCCAACTGTGCTTTAGTGAACGTTGCTCTGTAACCCTTGTTGGTTGAACGATTTCTTTGTCTGATGTTAGTAATGCACATGTGTTCCAGCCCCTCCTCAATCAATCTTAAGCCAGTCATACCCTTGTATATCTTAGAAGCACTGCATCAAGTCAATGCAGTGCTCACCTATTGTACAAGAGTGGCTATAGAACAAAAAAAGAGTGTATTTATCCTTTTGTATTCAAATGAAGTTATTTTTCTTGACTAACGTAAAACGTAGATTTTTTGTATTATTGCCAATTTGTGTTAACAGACGATTAATGTACTTTAATCCTAATCAGCTAAAGGGGGGAAGGTTTTTTTTTTTTTTAATTTCATCCTTTTTTCTTTTTTTTTTTTTTTTTTTTTTTTTTTTGGAGAGTTTTTTTTTTTTTTTTAATTTCATCCTTTTTTCTTCTTTTTTTTTCTTTTCATTTTTTTGTGCAGAGATTTCTCTGTATGGGCAACGTGCTGGCATCAAAGAATATCAGTTTACATATTATAGCAAGTGTAATAAGATTCCACCAAAGGACATTCTAAATGTTTTCTTGTTGCTTTAACACTGGAAGATTTAAGAGAATAAAAATTCCTGCGTAAACTATTTGAAGGATTAGTATTGCCATTTTTTTTACTATATTTTGCCAGGTGGGCAAAGCAAAAATTCAAAGAAGAATTGTGCAGACACAGCAAAGTGTATGGAAATCTTTATGTTAAACCATTGGAAGTTCTCAAAGTGGAAGGATAATCTCCATAGGGTGCAGTGTTACCAATTCGAGATGACAAGATCATGCTAGGTATTGTATGGACCAGCAGAAAATGGACATACGTGATTCAGCTTCTCTCGGTCAATTCAAGTGAAGCTGTAATTCTGTGCTCACTATTGCTGAAGTAAGACCCACTGAGCTTAATGGGAAGTATTTCTGAGTAGATGGGTTTATGATTGCACTCTCAAACTATTCATCACAAGTTCTACTTCTCCAGTTTATTCACACTAATGCATATTGGTGAAATCCAATATGCTGCTAGTGGAGGTCCAATTATGCAACTGTACATTGCTCTCCTCCAAGGTCGCCCATCTACCCATCCACTCACTCCCTACAGTTTCCCCACCACCATTCCCAACCCTCCAGAGTACATTGAAGAACCAGCTCCACTAATTAAAGCCATTCCATCAGTGGGAGGGACCATTTCAGTGCAACCCCAAATTTACAGCACTGAGCAAATGTATAACATTGAGGAAATTCACAATTCAAATTTTGAAGTTGCCGGTTTAATTCAAAATTCAGCATTTGAATTTGAGACTGAAAAATCTGGCATCAGAGTGCACAATGCTCCGCTGTTTAATGGATTGGTTAAATCAGTGAGGTTAATAGAAAATTTATTTAAATCCTGTTATAAATCACATATGAGCAACTGAGTACTACTTTGTCAGTTGTCTAATGCTATCAATTGTTTTAATTATTTGTACACCACTCCTTCAACAAAGATGCTACCAGGATGGTTTATTTATTTACTTACTTATTTAAAACATTTCTATCCCATCTTTATGCAGGCGGAGCTCAAGACAACTTACAACCAGAGCACAGTAACAGCACAGTAAAATATGAATATAATATATAAAACCACAGTAAGATAATTCTAACTTTATGATAAAATAATCAACCCTTAAAATATTGGTTAAATAAAAAGGTTTTGGCCTGGCACTGAAAAGAAGAAAACAGTGCCAGGCATTCCTCTCTGAGGAGCAGATTCCACAGCTGCGATGCCACCACCAAAAAGGCCCTTCCCCAGGCAGTGACTCTTCTGCTCCCAAAGAAGGACCTCAGTGGAAGATCTTATAGTTCATCCAGCTGTGTATGGAAGGTGACGCTTGCCAAAGCATATACAACTTAAGCAAGTATAACTTAATAAAACCCTAAACAATTAATCAAGCTAGTAATAAAACAGCAAGTTCAGGTAGCGTTTAGAACTGCCTAAAAGAGGAAAAGGCCAGGATAATAGAACAGCATTCATCTGAAGCTGAACAGGCAATGATTTCCAGAAGCAGGAGGCCAAACCCACAAGGCCCTATATCCAGTTGTCATCTAGTTTGCTTCAGATGGCAGAGGCACTCACAGGAGAACCTCTGTAGATGACTGCAGTCAACCACTCATTGCAGTGTGTCAGAAACCACCAAGTGCTGGCTGCTGCTGGCTTCCAGCTTTTCAAGGCGGCCATGTCTCATGCCAACTGGGACTGTATGCCAGCCACCAGATGTCAGATTCATTGCAAAATGTTAAGATGTCAAGTGGTGATGTCAAATATCAAGTGACTGTCAGGTATTTGCATCTCAGGATAATGTTCACTGTCAAAATCCAAAGTATTTGTCTTACTAAACGCTTCGCTAAAAGAGATCCAGGTGGCATCCATAATTAACAAATGTGTATGCTGATTGGGTTGGAGTGTTGGAGATTAGTAGACAAGGACTTTCCTATTGTCCTTTCTATAGTCAGCACTTAATACCCTGGCATTGTTTTTCCTTTTTTCTACAGAATGCTTACCTCAAAGACAGTCTTCCAAGACTGGCACCCTCTGGAGGTCTTTTTGGGCTGCAACTCCCATTTTCCTCACCCAGCACAGCCACAAGGAAGAAAAGGATTTGTAGTCCAACATAGAAATTGGAGGAGGCTGCTCTGTGGTTAGGCTCTGAATAAATTCTGACAGAAAAGCAGTTTACCTTTCTTTTAAAGAGATAGTTAATAGAATGGATGAATGTAAGCGAGATAAAACAGGCCCTTGGTTTACCCTGCAAATCCAGCATAGAATGATTTTGTTACCATCTATGGAACCTTTCACAATATGCTTTCTGTCTGTAATAAAGAATGAATCAATATTGTCAATGTGGAAAAGAAAACTAAGGTGCTTTGTGTGTGTATGGCAAAGCTATCTTTTGAGCAGGGGTAGGCAAATTTGTCTGGTTTGCTTTCTTGTGTACTTACCTGCCACTGAGATCACCTGTGCCCATTTCAGAAGGAAAACAACACCCTCCAGGACAGGTTGAATGCAACTAAGCCAAAAAGCCACCTCCTAGCAATACCTTCATCTCATCTGGATTAGACCTAAGCTTATTAGCCCCCATCCAGTCTCCTGATTCAGGACATTCACTTCATCTAGGTTAAATGAAAAGGAGAGGTAAACATGTGAGTCGTTGGCATACAGATGATGCCTCACCTCAGCTCACATCCCTAGAAAAGCTCCCCCAGAAGTTTCAAGCACACATTGAATACCAAGGGGATAAAATTCAGCCCTGAGAACCCCATGACTTAATTGCCATGGAACAAAGCTGCACTTTCTGGAAACGGTTATCCAAGCATGACTGCAGAACGACTATGAAACAGTAGCCCCAGTTTCCAAGCTAGGCAGCTGATCCAAGCAAACACTATGATGGATGGCATTTAAAGCTGGTGAGAAGTCCAGGAGAACCAACTGGTCACATACCCAGTGTCACCCCCATTCCACAGCATGTGCTAGGCAATTTCTATTCCAAAACCAGCCATAAAGCCTGAATGACATAGATTTCAGCTTCAATCAAGAATGCCTGAAGTTGATCAGCAACCCTTTGCTCAGGTACCTTACTCAAGAAAGGGATGTTCTGAACCTGTTTATAGTGGTCCTCCACTTTGAGTTTCAGTTAAGTTTTTTCAGGAGTGACCTGATCATTGCTTCTTTCAAAGTACCAGGTCCATACAATCATAGAATCACAAAATAGTAGAATTGGAAAGGTCCAATAAGGCATTCAAGTCTGACCCCCTGATCATTGCAAGACTCCAGTTAAATCATTCTTGACAGATGGTTGCTCAACAGTCTCTTGAATGCCTCCAGTGTGAGACAGTCTACAACCTCCCCAGGTAGTTGGTTCCATTGCCATAGTGCTCTAACAGGAAAGTTTCCCTGATGTCCAGTCAGTATCTGGTTTCCTGTAACTTATGCCCATTATCCCATGCTCTTCACCTGGGTAAGAAGAAATCTTTACCCTCCTCTTCATGACATCCTTTCAAATATTTGAGAAGTACCATCATATCTCCCTTCATTCTTCTCTAGGATAAACATGCCCAGTTCTTTCAATCTCTCATCATAAGGCTTTGCTTCCAGTCCCCTGGTTATCTTTGCTGTACTCCTCTGAACTTCCTCTAGTGTGGCAAAATCTTCCTTGAAATGTGGTGCCCAGAACTGGACACCATACTCAAATATGGGGCCTAACTAGTACTTACAAGAGGTGAACCCGTATCTCATAATGAAACACCATCTTTATTTTTCAACTGTAATTCCTTGTTCACTCACTAAGTCTGTACATAAACATGTTTCTAATATTTTATTGGTCTACCACTGTTTCTGAGGTTGCTTGCAGTGTATAGAGTTGCTGAAGGAGGTCCTTATGGAGAAATCCAATGTTGACAATGAAGAAATAGGATAGCTTTGAGAAGTGGCTAAAGTCCAGCATGGTGAA